GGAGTTACAGGGAGCTGGGGGAAAGCGCTGCTGGCCGGTGTGGAGGGTTTTGTTCTTTAAATGTCACGAGGCAACAGGCCAGGCTCTGGAAACAGCTGTTCGCGATTGTCACGGGGTCCCTCACGCTTGATGGCGTTTAGTGGAGCACGTTGACCCACGCCAAGATGCTGTTAGCGTTGCACGCCAAGTCACAGACCTGGCACACATGGCACAACATGACAGCAGCAAAGCTTCCTCCTGAGAGATTTCGGCCTTCTGACTCCGGTGCCTCTGAGACTTGTCTTCTGCCAGCCTGCTCTCTGTCTCTCCACTTTCTCATTTCTGCAGTCCGTGCTATCTGGGGCGGCTCTCCTGTTCATGTTTCTCATCACTTAGTGACATTTAACAAATGCCGTAGGAAATCATTTTTCCCTTCCCTACCTTTGAATCTTTTTTTTCCCACCCCCTTAAACCCCATTTCGAAGCTGTATTAGTTAAGTCTCTGAAGTGTTTTAGTTACACTTTGTGTGATGACTCAAAAATTGGAACTGAAATCCATCTGTGTTCAGGAATCATCTGGAGAGGGATTCACTGGCATTTGTGCCTCTTTGTCATTGTCATTGTTGACAGCCTGTTCTGAAACAGGTTTCTTTAGATTGTCACGGTTCTCAATGAATTTTAATCAGGTACCTTCCATTGGGCATTAATGTTATGTGCTTTGTTAGAAGCAAAAATAATAGTAAGACCTTGTTATACAAGCATGATAAAAATAGACCACCATCTTATTTTGTATTTGCATTGCTTGTTTTCACTTTGTGGAAAAGAAAACCATTTTTTTTAATAGTATAAAGTCTTTCCAGATTGCTTGTAGTCCTCTGTTTTTGTCTAGTTATTTTTAAAGTAAAAGCCCTTCCTGTTCTCTATGTATTGCCAATTAGAGTTGACTGGATGCAGAATTTCCATGCTGTTTTTGATGTCCCACTTCAGTTATGGAAGGCTATAAATTCCAAATTTTCAGAAACATTTTGGTGCATCCCAAAAAAACCAGATTCTCCATCTGTCTCTCTTTTGAGCTGAAGCTGAGATAATTGGTGTCTTGCAAATAGTGGGGAAGACAGAGTTAAGGTGGAACTGGTACCATGCCCAGTACCTTAGAGGACTAATGATGTGGCCATCTGGATAGATCTATTAAGTTGAGGGGCAAGTATCCTAGCAGAGTAGGTGACAAGATTGGTGTGACTTGCCTGTGACCTTTGTTTCCATCAAAGTTTGGGAGAAATCAGCCCTGTTGTTTAGATTGTCAAATTCTGTCAAATGAGCATTTCAGGTGGAATATTTTCTGTCCTCTGTTATGACCTCTATTTTTAAATCTACAGTTTGAAAACAGCAATTTTGATCACAATTAGAAATGCGGTAGTTAAAAGGCTGATAGAGAGGAAAAGGATACAATCAGGAATGAAACATTTTCAGTTCAAAGTTAGTGAGTCAAAAAGAGCTGGAAACTTTGAAAGAGGGAACTCTGTTTTAACCTGTTGGTGCCCTTCCTTCTTTCCTCAGAGCTTTCCTGTTCTGTTTCTTTTTTCATGACTGTAAAAGATTTGCCAGACAACTGCAAGTACGCCCAAGTGAAATCATGGAAAGCTTATAGATGAATTACATATAAGTTAAAAATGATTTTGTAACATCAGGTTGCAGTCCTGGCTAATTTAGTTACTTGGCCCTATTATCTTATTGCTGTCATCTTTTTCTACCACTATTCCCAAATACCTCTTCTATATTGCTATTACAGTTTTTTATAATATCAATTCAAGCCTAGATAAATCTGAGTTGTTTTTTGGCTCTCCTGTAAACAATCAATAGAGACAAGTGAAGGCAAAGCTGTAGATAAGTAGGATCTTAATAGAAGAGGATAGATTCTGTGTCACCTGTATCTACAGAACAGTTATTAGATCTGTTGTAAATTTAACCTGACATCTGTTTTTCCTGATTTTCTAAGACTTTGTTGTTGTTTTTTTAAAAGATAGTCATCTTCCTGAAGTTATTCATATGTCTTCAAAAATTACCCAGTTTCTGTCAATAGAATATATGAGAAATTAGATAAACAGTCAATATGAGAAGTTAGATGAACAGTATATGAAATTATATTAAATTAGAAGGTGGTACTTAGTGTTGTAGTAGGAATGTATGGTATGTTCTCATGTTACTAGAAGGTAATCATGCAATGTGCTGCAGTTACGAGTATCATAATAGAAAATAGTACCTCTGCAGAGGAAAAAAGAAAGCCAGAGTTCTTTTCTTGATGTTGGTTTGCTGTGTGACTTTCCGTAAGTCATATCAAAGTTTCCACTAGTAAATGAAACTTCATAAATAAGCAGTAACATGGCAGCCTTACCATTTCTTGAACTTGTGTATTGAAAGGTTGGGCTGCTAAAAGAGTCCGCAGGTAACTGATGCCTGTGCTTCTAAGCAGTTTAGGAATTCCTGAAAGTCTGCAATACAATTGAAATGAAAATAATGAACAATTTTCCATTCACTTCAGCAAGTCCAGAAATTCACCCAGCATGCCCGAAATATGTGTAACAAAATACACTGAGTGAAAGCTTTCAGAAATAGAAGCCTTATATTCATAGATAGTCATAGGAGCTCTGGAAGGCTATTCTCATAATGAGACAAGCAGCTAAATACTGGCTTAGGAAACTGTTACGGTTTGACAGGCCTGCGCCACTGGTACTATGGTACGTGCTTGAGGGGCGGATGCGCCAACTGAAAGGCATATGAATAGGGATACTGAAGTGAACAGGCAACTGCAACATAAGCACATTTGGGATGACAGTATAGGTGCTTGCAAGGTGATGAATGGATTTACAAACACTGCTGGTAAAACTGGCGGTAACGTTTAATATCAAATAACGATCACGATACCAGCTATAACCTGTGAACACTGTAATCATTATATGTATATATACATCAATATTTACAAGTGATGGAATAGATGGATCATGTGTATGTACATACAGTAGCAAATCTTCCAGAAACAAATAGAAACACAAAACATATATAGAAATAAAAGGAAAGATGCTCGAAAGGTCGTGCTGGGAGGACGCATCTCCCTGGTATCACTACAGTAAAGTCAGTTGGCCACACCTGGCAAGTGTGCCAACCCCTGGTGCCGAGACCCTAAATAATAGGGCTGGCCACATCCCAAAGGCATGCCAGACCCCATTGCAGAGACTGCAATTCG